AATGTATGCGAAACTAAGCAAAATAATGTAAATTCTTAGCAAACCGAGCACCTGAACAAATCATTAATAATATTAATATTATCGCGGTTTCAGCGTCTAATATATTTTCTTTTTGTCTGTAGTTTCAGAGACCCCAGTCAGGAGAATTATAAAGGTAGTAAACTTGGAGAATTGATGGCTTTAATTTACAAGGCCAAAGCCAAAAGAGATAAAATAGGGTCAAATTAAAGTAGAATTTTTAACCAATTTCATTCATTCTACTGTTCGGCGAGTGGGTTTTGAGGCCCTGTTATGTCCATAACGACACCTAGCGAGGGCTTATTAAAGCCATCTGAATATATAGACGACTTTGCTAACCTTTACAATTCCTAAATTGAGTGTGAATTGTACTAAATTTAAAGAAAGAAATAGTAGTTAAAAAAAATGTAATAAGAATTCAGTTCTGAAGAGGTTTGTTTAAATAAAGTTTCAATCTGTTTTAAATCTTTAGTAAAACTAGTTAACAGCGTATTTACTTAGTTAACCTTTAGACCGCTAAGCTATTTACCAACTTCAACTAAAACGGCATCTAGACTAAAACTATTACATTTATTTAATATCGATGGCCCTCTTGACCAACGTAAGACTAAACAAACACTAAAGACGCGGTAAAAACCGAAAAAGAAAGGAAAAAAAATAGACGAACCACCATGTGTTTTTTTTCTTTTTTAGCACCGGCATACTACGGCCGGTCTTCTTAAGACCTTAAGCCGCTTAATGCGAATTCCCCTATTTTGCAGGGGTTGGACAAGAGTGCACACTAGTGTACGCTCTTTATAGAGCGGTAATGACTGTCCTAAAGGACTGAAAGGCGGGAGATGTGGGCTCCGGACCCCCGCCATTCGGTCTAGTATGGTAGGAACCGATAAAAATCGCCACCGGGAGAGGCAGTCTTAGACACAAAACCCAAGGCCCCCTGGAGATACCGGCCAGCACTACCACTGCTAGTCGGCCTCCTCGAGTAGGAGCCCTTACAGCATGCGTTTAATTAATATATATATACTATACATATAGATGCATATGATTTAAGGTACCTAATAAACAAAAAATAGTTAACCTTAAATTATTCCAACTTTAAAGCCGTTCTGTAAGGTGCTTTTATACTAAACAAGGCATGTAAAAAGTAGGCTAACTATTCCTAATATGGGGCCATTAACCCGTTCCTTGCGCTTATCTTATAGTTTACTAAACTTGTTCAACTGCTTAAAAAAGACAAAAGTGCACTCTCGTCGTGTCTTTATTGAGAATATCTTTAAGTATATAGTTAACCTTCGTTACCTGAACTAATCCTCTTTTAATCCACCGCCTAATTCATTGCCATGAATTCATGGTATATTACAGGTAACTTAAAATAACACGGTCTTAGACCGTTTTCTTTTGATAAATATAGCTGGATTAACGTAATTAATTCAACTAAGTTTTTTTTTTGGAAAAATATATATAATGTTCTTAGATACCAGCTTAATATAAAACATTTAGGGCCTTTTCTGAAAAACTAATCATTCTATCTAAACAAAATTCAACTTAACTGTAAAGAAGATAACTATATAATATAAATTAATACAAATTTATAAGTATTTGAATTCTTATAAAATTGTAGCTTAGACGTCTCTCGTAATCTCTCTAAGGGTATTAAAGCTTTTGCTGTTCATCCGTGAAATTTAGAATTTACCATATATATTGCTTATAACTTTATTTAGTAGTATTGTACGTCTATTAACTTAATAATTTTATACCCATCGCCGGAATGCCAATGCCTAGCAGGCTACAAAGGGTGTTCCTTTAAATGTTACAAGTATTAGCAATATTGTAAATTAAAGATTCGTTAAATGCGCCGAAAAAACCATTATTTTAATAAGTGTCTGGGAAAAAAAGATGGTAAACCAAACTGCGTCAAGTGCAAGTGTTAAGGCACTGACTAATATAGGAATTGCTTTTATTACCCTAAAAATACACAGAAAAAAACTAACGGTTGCTGGTCGGGCATTCCAAACACCAGATATTAAGAACTCCTGAAAAAAACTTACACTCAAGCGATCACAGGCGAAGGTGCGCACACCTCCACTAACTTAGGTAAGATAATTATTATACTAATTATTAATTTTATAGGAATCGGTAACGAGATATGAGATACAAAAAAATTATAAGAAAAAATTAATTGAGAGAGAGGGTGTTGATTTGCTCTGACTTTGAAACTCCCCCAAAGAGTTCTAGTAAGTTCTGCATTCCTTAACTACGTGGCATAGAAAAGAACTGAGTGGAGGAGGTGATACCATTTTTTTATAAAAAGGGTCATAAGACACATCTTCCCGGGATACACTAAGCTACGATGTGTACTATTAATTGGTATGCGGACTAAATTTGGTATGCTGTTTGTAAATATTTATCTTCTTTTAAGGCACCCTATAAGAACCTGGGTGTAGTAAAAGACTTTGATAAATAGCCATATGATGTTCATTGGTCTTTGTTTGTGGAAATTAAAATGCAAACATTCGCCGTGGAACAAAAAGCACTCGCCATTTGAAATATAATTTTGGCTTGAAATTACTAATATGACGATTCTAACTGTCTTTAAAATTCGTTTGATGAATTATCATTTAAACTGTGTTGTTTGTCGTAAACAGTGACTTAATACTGAAGTGATAAAAATAGCCAAGAATACTGGCTGTGTTAAAAAAAGAGATGTAAAATAATTGACACAATAACATGGTTGTTAGTCCTCTTGTCTCTCGGGGTTGGTAGGCTTCAATGTTTATTCAAAAAAAATAATTATTTCTATTAGGACGTCCTCTTATTTTACTAATTTTTGTAGATATCTACCTTTGCGTGGGGACTTGAAACGAAAATAAAGGTAAGTTGTCAATACTATTTTAAAGGTCGAAGAGCTTGGTGCGAAAAAGCACTTTTGGTCGTAGGATAAAATATAAGGAAAGTAATTTATACCCTTATTATTTCTTTAATAGTATTTAATTATAAATATAATAAAAGTTTTATCTTAATTGCCTTCTTAGTGCCAAAATATGGCGTAAATATTATATTAAGGTGAACTTGTAGATAATCCGCTTATTGTCAAGCATTAATGCAGTAGAGGACGTAGCCCAAAGTTATATATTTTTGCTGCGAAGAGCGCGTTTTTTTGCTATCTTTTTTGTCTTGTCTTAGTGGCTAATCTAGGTGACATTGTGTGAATACAACTTTAAATTATGAGGTATGTATTGATGAAGATAGTGCACTGCTTTTTAAGAGAAGAAAGTCTCAAATTTTTTTTAAAGAAATATTGTCCTTTTTTGGCACTTATTATTATGTTTTTCAGTTATATAATTGTAAAGCAATTTAATAATAGTGTAGGGAACCTTGATGTAAGAACTTTGTATTGTTTATCGGACTTGGTAGATAACCTATAGAATTTGGTAAAGCAAAGAAATGATATTTTTAGTATATATTTTTATAAACTAAAGTAATACAGTTTTTTTTTGTCTGTATATACTCAGTAGGAGATTGCTTTCAAAATAGCTGCCTCTTGTCCCATTATTTTTTAATAACTTACTATCTGTGCTCTTGTGCAAACTATTTACAAAGAGAGGATTGCAAAATTATGAGGACGACGTTCTTAAATGAGGCAAAAGGTTTAATTTATGAAAAAAAGTTGACGAGTTCTCGGTACCAATTTCAGGAGACGTGGTTAAAAAAAAGCGTGCTATACATTATTTGTGGAGAAGTAACCGCGCACATACTTTACCAAAGAAGTACTATGGAAAAATTGAGGGTGATCGAGAAGATAAAACCGAGATTAAAAACTAAATCAATTTTATCTTATTTTAGAAGAAATCACAATTTTTATAAATGGTCTAATTGTCGCTGTCATTGTTTTTTGTGTAAAAAATACAGTTTAATATTAGAACTAAAATAAAGCAGAATTAAAGTTTTCGGCTAAATTCGTAATGTATAAAATAACTTAAACTACTTAAAACTACAAATGAGAGGATTAAATAAAGGTTTTCTCCTTGTTCATCTTATAGCCTTGATAACTTAAAAAACTAATATCATATAAAGATTGGGAGTAACAATAAAATAATATAAAGTTGGCCAAAGTTAAAAAGAGCTGTATAATTTATTTGATTGCTCTTGAGTCGCCTGGGTAGCACAACGCTTACCACCTCACAAACACTGATTACAACAATAACGGCTAATAAAAAAAGAACGCACTCATGAAACCCCAACCCCTAAATTATTGATTAGGGGTGCCCTTAGAAGGCAACCCTCAATTACATATAACACCTGCTGAAAACCGCCAAATTCGAAAGTAACCTCTATGAGGCCAACCTATTTTAAAAATAGGTAAAAATTGAGTAAGCCTTCATTAACTTTATAATATAATTCAGAACCTTAATAATAATACTTCATCACCTTAAAATTATAGAAAACCGTTATTAATATATTATAATCGCCATTATTTCGTATATTGTTTTTTTTAATAATTAACTATCACTATATTATAAATATAGATATTAACGATATCCTTATTAATAATATTACTTTTATACCATTACTATAGATTTGAACATTCTTATTAGTATTGCTACAATATATTTTATTAAAATCTTGCCTTTGAAGTTATTATTTAACATAGTAAGAAAGGGGATTTATAGTGTGTAGGGTATTAAAAAGATCAGATGTTCTATCACTTTTTTTGCTATAAATTTTTGTTTTTTTTCGGTTTTTATATTTTGGTGTTCTCGTTTTTCGTGATTTCCTATAGTGTTTTCGTGCTCCAACTTTCTGGCTTTGATAGATAGTACATCGCCCACAAAACCAGTTTTGATACATTTTTATTACCAAGCAGGCATCTTAAAAGATCTTTATCAATTATTCCTCTTCTCTCTATTTTATCTAAAATTTTTCTTTAACCTTATTTCTCAAAGTATTTGATAAATAATATAATATGTTTTTGTTACATTAGTACTTATTCAAGTATGAAACTAAGCCTGAAATTTGCAATGAAATCGTATAAATTGGTAATTAGCACTCTTAAATCGAAAACGGAATCGTCCGTTTGTTTTGTTAAACAGGTCCATCATACCACAGAATTGAGGTTTTTAACGTAGCTCAGAGGGCAAGAGCACAGACGCAAAACTATGGGTTTCAGTCTAGCAACGCAACTTTATTTTTTTGGTCTTCGACGATTGGGCTTTTTATCTCATATTATAAATTCTAATTATTAGTATCTTTTTTACGAGCACGCGGTACTATTAAGCAGAGAAAATTTTTAAAACTTTTCTTGCAGCTCCACTTTTTTTTTGGCTTAGCGAGAATTCGGGGGCAGCAATCAATATCTCGACTTAAAGACTAAACAAAGAATTTGTCGCTTTGAGTCTTACAATATTATGTCACTACAAGAAGGATCTATTTTAAACAAGTATCATATGAACTTTCTATGCTATACACCAAATTATTATAGACTTTGCTCGTACGGAGAGAGATTTTAAGACACCAAAAAGAGAGGGGTTCTCGCTAAGGGAGATCTCAATAATTTTTAATGCTACTTATGATTTAGGTTATCGTCTAAGGATTTTGAGGATCTAGACGATGAGTTGTTCTTAGGTTACGCGGAATATGATCCTGAAAAGGAAAAAATGTTATATCTCTGCTTTAATGCTTATTTTTATTAAGCGTAACCTTAGACTCAAGTTTTAGGGAGGACAAGCTGAGCTTAGAAGAACCCTTAAGTATATTTAAATTCTGTAAAATAAATAGAATTTATTGGCTTTCGTTATTAAGCAATAAAACAGTTTATTATATCAACTAGTTTATTAGCTCTTTTATAACACCGAGATTACCTTATATTGCATATTTTTACAAAAAAATTTTTAATTTTTCTCAAAGTACCGGTTAATTATTTTACCAAACTATGAGTTAAAACATATATCCGTTATACATAATTTTTGCTCTTTGATTATTTATGTAAGGAGGCTTTTAGAACAATTATATTATCTGTTTATTTGATAACAGCCGAGCTTCATCTCCCTATAAAGAATTCTAGGAGACTAACTCAAAGGAGTGTTATAGAAGTCAAGTAAGACCTCTTTTTTGTCTTTTCACTTCTTCTACTTACTCCGAAAAGGCTCTTATCTGAAAAAGGACTCACCCTTCTGGTCGACTCCTTACAAGAATTGAAGTTCCACGGCCCCGGACACGAGGTTACGGGATAAAGATTCCCATAACTTGCTGTGATTGACTGTTTTAGGTGTATGACTTACGATCTTTGATACTGGCCTACGAGCACTGGGCTCATAATCTTCTGCCCGACTTGGAATTTAAGTTATTTGCAAAGCGCGCACAAAAGCTTGGGGGAAATGCTAGAATCAAAGTTGCTTACCAACTAGCGAGTATTATTGTTTTTGTTGCGTTATTTCTTTCCACAGACAAAACTAGCGGATATAAGACATAACTTTCAACGAAACGGCAGCTTTGAGGTTTAGAATTTTTTTTAAAGGTTTCTATAATAACTTAGTGTATATTCCGAAATAAAAGAAAGAGTGAGTGGGGATTAGTCTTAATAATAGCAAAGCAACACGAATCGCGTTTGAAAATCCACCGGTTCAGATTTCATTGGAAAAAAATAAAGTTTAACTGTTGTATCGGAAATCTCAGAGGAATAAAAAAGCTATTTATTAATTTTTTTTGACGGCCCCTAACTGGGCGCAAGCTACTATTTATGCTTTCTGCTTGATGTTTTGAATAGCCTGTCATATATATCTTAAGCATGAAAGAATATTTACAATAAGTTTTACTAGTGACATACCTCTAGCATTAGACTCCCAATATAAGCTGGAGACTGAGAGATGCGCACACCTGCTGCCTTTAGAGCCTCAATCTTCTCTTCTGCGCCGCCTTTGCCTCCCGAGATAATGGCCCCCGCGTGGCCCATACGTCGTCCAGGTGGAGCAGTACGCCCGGCAATAAAGGAAACAACCTATAAAGAATCGGTCACTACTAAAACAAATAGCAGCATTTTGAGATAACCGGTTTGGGTTGCGCTCGACTCAAGTTGTGTTCCTTCAAAAACTCTGCGGCTTCTTCTTCAGCAGACCCCCCAATCTCTCCGATTAGAATTATTCCCTCGGTGTTGGCATCCTTAATTACAAAAGATAAAGGCAATCACGATTACCACACAACTAGAGAATACCTACCGACAAAAATAGCTTCAAGCAGTCAATGAAATTAGTGCCGTTAAAGGGGTCTCCGCCGATACCGACGCAGAGAGTTTGTCCAAGGCCGGCCATCGTCGTCTGATTTACCGCCTCATAAGTCAGTGTGCCACTTCGAGAGACAATACCAATTTTTCCCGCTCGGTGTATTCTCCCTGGCATTATTCCTACCTTGCACTTTTTACAAAAAGTCAGTAAAAGTTTATGTAAACCTGCTTCAAGTTCTCTGGAAAAACCTCGCCAGGCCGGATAACTCCTGGGCAATTGGGGCCCAGCAAACGGGTTTTGCTTTGGCTTAGAAGAGCTTGCTTTACCTTTATTTTAAGAATAACATAACTTATAATGTAGGAAGAAGAAAAAAAGTAGGCCTGCCTTAATCATGTCTTTCTGGGGTATTCCCTCTGTGATGCACACAACTAAGTCTATTTCAGCTTCAATGGCTTCCATAAGGGCGGAGGCGGCAAAAGGAGGAGGTACAAATACTACAGAAGCATTAGCCCCTGTGACTTTCATAGCCTAAAAACCCTTAAAAACAGTCTAGAGAAGAAGGTTTGGCAAAAATGTATTGCCTCCGAAACTGTTCCAAACACTGGTCGATTTAAATGGGTTGAGTCAGCTTTCTTAGGGGCCACACCGCCAACTATATTAGTGCCATACTCAATTGATTGTTCGGAGTGAAAAGTGCCCTTAAGTGTAAGTGTAAAGAAATGATTAAAGAAAGGTGCAGGGTTACAGTTGAATTCACTAAAACGAAATCAATAACTTGAAAACTACTTATTTGTAAAATTTATACCTAATATACAATATGATAACATATTTTTACCTGTTTTCCAGTAAAACCTTGTACAATAAGTTTCGTATGTTTTCCAACATTTAAATTAGTGTAAGTGGAATCATAAGTTGAAAAATTCCGCCTAACGAAGAAAGCTGCGAGATGGGAGTAACTTTTTAGTTAGGGTTTAATTTTTAAGACATAATAAAGGAACACTAAAGATTACCAAAGATCCTTTGGCGTAAAAGTGAAAACATTATACAATATCAAAGTTTTCGCAGGCAGGCGTCGAACACCTAACTCTCTTAAGACAAAAAGCTTCAAGCTCCTTAAAAGAACAAGTGTTAAAATGAAACCCTCATACTAATGCCCATTATAACATTACGACGCAATTTAAGGGAAACCCTAGTAAAGTGTGTTAATTATGAAAGGTTCTCTAACCCCCCAAAACCGTGGCCTGGAATAAACAAACAACTAATAATAGTCTGTAGTAAACTACTTTTTTTCTGGATATATAAACGAAAAAGCTACTTGATAAGGCTTCATACA